CTTGTTCTCAAATCACAGGATGCATCAGTGAATCACAGCTTAAAAACAAACAACAACAACTTGCAAATGTAATTGAGATGCACTGCAGAATTTTAATTCCATTTCTCTGCAAAGGCTGATGCAAAAATAGCCTGTACTGTCTCCTCATGTTAGCAGGTACAGGCTAAAGCAACAGAGGCGTTTATCTCAAGCCCCAGAAATGAGGGCAACTAATCACGTTGCTTGGGAGCACCCTTTTCAGCCAGCAGACTGAACATCACTGGCACCAAATGAAGCGAGATTGTCTGTTTTCCTGGCCAGAAAGTTTTTGGGAGTGAAACTGTGGTAGCCAAGTTATGAAAGGCAAACGAAATTAGAGACACTGTAATAAAAGAAGGGCAGAAAATTATCTCATTGCATCACTTGAGACTGAACAGTTTTTGTATCTCTCTGCCACAAGTTAGCTAAAGCTACCCCCAACTGCAGTTCTTGGTTAAACAATATCCTATTTTGCACTTAGGAGTTACGTAAGGGCAGACCCAGTCACACGGGCAGGGTGAAGTAAAGGAAGGCCATTATTCACAGCCTGACATGGATAAATCCAGTTTAACACATGCACTTAGAAAACACTGTCCTCTCTGTTTAGCAATATTATTGCACATTCAATTCGTTTTGATAACCCCTTCCTTCTATATCTACCATGCTGCTGACAGCATAATTGGGGATTTGACAGATGCCTTCTGCAGGGAGCAGTGGACACTTATTGACATCCCTCCCAATAGATCTTGCCTTTCTATTTATTTATTTATAGCCTTCAAATACATCTATTTATTGCACTCTGCTTCATTTTGCAATAAGTTTAATTTACAAAATGTGATAATATGGTGGCCAAATTCTAGTTTATAAGTTTAATTTACAAAATATGATAATATGGTAGCAAATCTCTCCCTCCTTTCTTCCCCATTTCTCTCTTCATTTTACAGGGAAGGAAAATAAAGTTTGCCTTCCAGAAATTGCCTCACATTGTCTTATGCATCATTGATATGTGAATTAGTTATGGTCATAGAGAGGAAATCAGTGTTAGAGCCGGGATTAGAACTCAGGAGTACCTGTTTCCTATCCCCATACTTAGATAACAAGGTCATGTCTGGGCTTGATCTCAGTCTTGCATAAAATCTTGGAGGTGAAGGAGGGTTCCTAATTTTATAACTAGAAAATGAATTCTAGGATTTATTTTTAATAGATAAAGCATAGATAATCTCGTTCTAGCACAGAATGTGCATGAAGCATTACATTTTTGACATGCTAGGATATACTGTCACCTGAAAAATACTGTGACAAATCCAGAAAAGTGATAAGGGATTAAATTTGCATGATGAATTTACAATTAATAGCAAATGATAAAATCACAGGGGCCTTTTCTCCTTTGATATGCCAGAATGCTTTGGGGAAATTTTCTGGGCTTATTGTACATTTTGTTGTGCTGCTCCTAACATAGGGAGACCGGATGGTATCTACCTACCTCCCAACTTCCATAATGCTGAATGTGCCAGGGATGTTCTAACATCCCATTGATTTCAGGGACATATTAGCGTATGACAGCTTCCCAGCATGAAATTAACTGGGAGTGGCATGCAGCAGACTTCCCAATGTGCAAAAACTGCATTGTAAGGGCTTGGCTACACTTGCGAATTACAGCACAGTAAAGGAGCCCCGGGCGCACTAGCTCACTACCTGTCCACACTGGCAAGGCACATAGAGCGCTCTGACTCCACGGCTACAGCGTGGCTGGTACTCCACCTCAGCAAGTGGAATAACATTTCCTGCGTCCCTGCTGGAGTGCCGCAGCACCAGTGTAAACGAGGTGTTGCATTACTGCGCTCTGACCAGCCTCCAGAAACGTCCCATAATCCCCTTAAGTCAAGTGGCCACACTTGTCATTGTTTCTGAATTGCTACAGGAATGCGGATAAGCTCTTTGAAAGCTCCGTTTCTGACAGCCGGCTGCTTATCTGCTCCGAGACAAAGCAAGCCATTAGTTTGGAATGCTGTGTGTGAAAGAGAGAGGCGGGGAGGAGGGGGTCTGCTGCTGTCTGAACTTACAAGAGAGCATGCTGACATGCTCTCAGCACCCCCAAAAACCCGCTCTCCCCCCCCCACATACACAAAACACACTCCCTGTCACACTCCAGCCCACCTGCCCCATTTGAAAAGCACGTTGCAGCCACTTGCATGCTGGTATAGCTGCCCATAATGCACTGCTCCCAATGCCGCTGCAAGTGCTGCAAATGTGGCCACGCCAGTGTGCTTGAAGCTGTCAGTGTGGACAGACAGCAGTGCTTTCCCTACTGCGATCTCCAAAGGCTGGTTTAACTGAAAGCGCTCTACATCTGCAAGTGTAGCCATGCCCGTATATGTAACTCTTTCGGTATAAATCAATACTCACTTGAAATTTAACAGCTTTAAGAAATCCCCAGAAATTAATTAATTAAGAAATTAATTGCTTGAGGGCTAAGCAGAAAACATGTCTCTAACACTACAGTTTTAACTTCATGCAGGAGGTGACAAACCTTTTCTCTGCTAAGAGTTCAGTGACAATACATCATTTGTGGCCTGATTTTCCAGAGGTGCTGACTTCTGTTGGTGCCCTCCACCTCTGGAAGCCAGGGCATTAGATTTTAAATCAACTACATATTGGCTTGCTTCAAAATGCTGGTTATTTTTGGCCCACATGGACTAAACTGTGCCATGCAAGACAAAATTGCCCTTACTAATTTTAGCTAAAAAAAAAATCTCATACTTCTGCATCTTCCAAACAGATGTACAGTTCCATCAAGAATAGAAGTGATTTAGATAAGACATCTTCCTCCATGTTGCTTTCTTAAATTATAGCAACATCACTGAACTAGATGTATAAACATACTGCATCCTCCTGCATGTACAATTGTGAACGTGGCTAAGGGACGACTTCACATTTCAGGCCCTGATTGCAAAACACTGATACACATTTAAAGTTAAGCGTCTGTTTAAGTTCTTTGCTGAATAGGGGCCAACATGCAAAAGCTACAAATAATGTTATAACTTGATGCCAACTGTGATCCAGCAGCATGTTGCTAATCATTGGCATACAACACTGGATTCCAAATTTTATGTGGGGTTTAGACTAAATACATTATAATGTACTCTATGAGATGATAAACCTGATGTTACAGACAGGGTTGGCCCTAAATATTAGCCCAGTCCTACAATCCCTACTCACATAAGACATCCCATTGTCTCTAATATGGATGAGGGTTGAAGTCTCAGGCTCCATCTTAGTACACTGACAACAACGACAAGAGATATCATTTTAGAGCACGCATGTGGCCGATAACACAGAGTCACAATGCTTCTCATTAAGCAAACAAGGTAGCAAATATGGATAACTGCATTAGAACATCATGTATTAAATATCTTTAGTGTATTAATATCATTGATGCATCTAAAAAGAAAAGAAGAAAGAATTCCCTGCATTTGATGGCACTAATAAACCAGAAAAAGCCCCCCCAAAACAATACATACTATGAGGCATCTATCTGGATGAAGTGGTGCTAATCAGTGTCAAGCAAGACCTGCAAGCAGGGCCGGCTCCAGGCACCAGCTTTCCAAGGCGACAATTAGAATAGTCCATGCCCTGCAGCGGCAATTCAGCGGCAGCTCCGCTGCTTTTCCCGCCGCGGCAGCTTTTGGGCAGCAGCTTCGCCGCTCTTGGCGTGGCGGCAATTCGGCGGCGACTGCTTGGGGCGGCAAAATTGCTAGAGCCGCCCTTACCTGCAAGGATACTTTACAATATGAAAATCTTTTCTGCTATACAGCAAGTCTGTGTGTATCATGAATAACCACCCTGTCTTGGCTGGGATGCAGTCATGCACTAACACTTCATTGTCACCAGTGGGATGTTAGGACATCTCTGCTATATTCAGTAGCCTGGAAAGCAGGGAGTTGTGTTCTACCTGCATCACACAGCAACAGTCAACATGTAAATTATCGTCATCACCAGTCATCCTTGGAAAATTACTATAACGCTGATTCTGCCACCCTTGCTCATGATGAGTAGAAAGGACAGCAGAATTGGGCCTTTATTTGTGAATTTCAATGGGCCCCCTTGCAGAGTAAGGCACAGAATTTGGCTCTTAATTAATACTGTGCTTTAATAGCCATTCTGCTGATTATTTCTATTTTATAAAGGGGGGAAAGTCAACAATTATACTGGTTTGCCTTTGAACAAATCATTTAGGTGACCTGAAAAATATTCTGGTCCCTGCCCCTTTGATGCTTACAGTACCGTGCTTTCGGTCCCAAGCACTAGCAGAGTTTGCCCATGCACTTGCCATTGGTAAATCCTCAACACTCAGCCTCTATGGGTTAGATTACTTTTGATGGACAGCTAAGATTAGCACACAAAGTATTGCCATCCTTGGCTTTGCTGCTGCAAGATCAATATTTAATAATAGTGAAGTCCAAATCTTTCTCTATCTAGTTGTCCTAGAGGTTGAAACCTGGGTGAGCTACGCTGCTGACTGGGAGTTACGAGTTTCTGAGTGGAGCCCAGATCCTCGGCTGCTAGCCAGTGAGGACTGATTTTGAGTTGGGGCAAGATCCTCATCTGATATAAACTGAGTTAACCCCACTGACTTTAATGGAGCCATGCCCATTTCTACCTGCTGAGAATGGAGCCCTCACTTTTTTGGGCAAATGGAGGTGCCCCACTACAGAGAATCCCTTGTTTAGGCCAAGCTATGGACTGACAGAGTTAAGATGACATGGTGGGTGAAGTAATATCTTTATTGAACCAACTTCTGTTGGTGAGCGAGACAAGCTTTCAAACCTTGTTTCTCTAATATCCTGGGACCGACGTGCTGCAACAACACTGCATACAGTTAAGATGGTCAATTCTGGAGTACATATGTTATTAGTGGGACTGAAGGAGCGACCATTCTAACATATGTATTTACAAATGGAGTGCCTTGCCACCTGGCTTACCTTTTCAACATCTGCTTTCGTAACGTTGATGTCAGCATCCATTTTCTCAAAATATTGCTGTGCTCTATCGGCTTCCTTGCAATCACGTTCAAACCGCCTTTTACTCTGAAAAGGAAAAATGAGCCCATCAGATACCGGAGAGAAACACGATTTGAAATTCAACCAAGTAAGCAACACTCGCTAATTTCATTTTCTGTAATCACTGTCAAGAGTTTTTGAGAACAGCTCATTTACATCTGCATACATTTCCACACTAAACTGCAAAAGTTATTGGAAAGAAAATATTTGCTCTGATCTTCAGACAGATTGGCTCTGATGGTAACGCCAGTCTTGATGTCCCATTAGTCTCTCAGCCTCTTTCCATATTCCCCCTACACATGGAACACCTTCTTGCTCTGATCTGCCAAATCACTATCCTCTCTACATTTAAACCCCTCGCTTTTTCTGTGAAGGCCACAATAAATGAGCCAATACTATCTTTGTTATTTTATGTGTGCACATATGACTGAACAACTAAGGTGTGTACATGCATAAGCTGAGTATCCATGGATAACACTCACCTTTTCTTACACAGTCCCCTCCTGACAGTTTCTCACCTTCCCTCATTGTGTCATTTCTATTATTGAGGTCCAGATTCTGCTATACGGATGGCACTTAAAGGGCACTATTTTATATCTTTATATCTTGACTTTTAGAGTCAAGTTTTCAAATCATGTTCTTTTTGATTTCAGATGTTCTCCTCAAACCATATCATAATCTCTTTTCAAACACAATGTTTAGAAAGATCTCTATGAAGACAGTGTCAATATAGCTATAACATCACTTCTGAAAATGTTTCCACTTACTGCTTCAAGCTGTTTCCAGAAAGTTTCAATGTTTTGTTGTGCCTTTCTGCCATCATGAAAGTGCTGTGGAAAAAAAGCCAAAATATTATAAACAAAAGAAACAACAAACAATTACGTTAGAGGAGATATAGAAAAACAAAAAAAAATCTTGCATCTATTCTGTGACTCTACCAAGCCACACAGGTGTACGATAGCTATTTTATGTCTCAGCAGGCCATGGATTTACATCGGTAACAATTAAAGAGGTTTCATAGACAAGGTATTATTAATCCCTTTAGCAATTCTACCTCGCATTGTTCACTGTAACCCTTAATTATTGGTTTCCCATTCAACCATCCCCACACTACTCCCATCTGAACAAGATCTCTTTAAATACCAATTGAACACTGCCTCTGAATTAAAATTTTTCTCCATGTGACACTTGCCCAGCCATCTTCATGATACAGAATCATCCTCCTTGACTGGCACATTCTGGTATTGATACTGGTCCTTTATTAACTGATTTTCATTCACATACAATATGAGCATGTTCTTCTTTCCCCCTGTTACAGGCTTAAGTCTGTGGGACCAGCTGTCCTCTTCTATTCGGTTTTGAGACGTGTCCAATTACTTTGGATTCCTGCAGAAACCTTATTTTTCATATATTTTCTTGTCTACATTAAGCTGCTATAGAAAATTTGACCTGTGAAATGTCTGTTAAGCAGCCTATTAAGTAACATATCTTGTTAAAAACAGATTAATCCCCTTACAAGAACAGTAGTGTGAATTTGCATTCTTCATATCATACTATAGTCTTAGTAAGAGATGCTTGCTTGAAATTCTCCTTAATTAGAGTCAATTCTAAGCAACAGCTCTCAGCACTTATAGACTACTCTTCATCAGAGGCTCTAATGTACTTTACAAAGATGGGTATATCCTCTTTTTACACAGGAGGAAGGTGAAGCACATGGAAGTTAAGTGGCTTGCTCAGAGACACACACTGACTCAGTGGCACAGCTGTAAATAGAATACAAGAATCCTGACTTGCAGTCCCCTGCTCAACCACTATCGCACATTGCCTCCTGTAATAGCCCCTTGACCAAGAGAAACCCCAACAATAATCCACTAACTGGCCAGACATGCCTTTACATTGCATCACTATTTCCATCTGGGAATTAAGCACCATGCAGGGTCAGGCATTATACCTATTTTATGCAAAATGACAACACACACAGTTACGTTAGAAAGGATAAAACCCCATGCTTCACTGTCAGAGCCAGCTACTAATTGGTGGGGTTAGGAAGAAACTACCCCTATAAACAGATTAATCCACAAGTGGCCACTTCAGGGTTTCCTGCACCTTCTTCTGAAGCAGTTGGTCCTGGCCACTGCCTGAGAGACATGATACTGCATTATACGGATCACTGGCTTGATTCAATATGGCACTTCCTATGTGCCTTTCTGATGTCACCAAACAAGCAGGCCATTTCCCATGTGGGGTTTAAAATAAGACTCCAAAGACCACTATCATCACTCCCACAGAACACCTAATAGTATCTAACACAAACTCATTTTAACCTTCAGGTGAGGGAAAGAATAAAGACCAGTCTGAGGATTCTAAATACCACAGTATATAATCCCAAATCTCTCCTTTGGCCTGGGTGCTCATCTGCAGCTAAACAAAGCAGTGCTGGACATCATTTCTCTTTAATTTAATTCCCTAGAATTTTCATAGTAGAGAGGAAAAAGAGGGAGACCCAATGTCAGTAACACTTTTAACTACTCTGAAACTTTTAATTATGTAACAATGTCCAAGTGGGATTGTCACAGTCCCATCTATAGAGAACACTTGAATGTGAAGCAGCCAAGCCATAAAAGGCAATGCAGCTGAAAAGCTGGCAATACTACAGCTCTGAAGAACACATCCTTTCCCATTAACTCTGATACTTGTGCTATTCTGACCTTTACCCACCACATTTAACTTCGGTGAAAAAACACACTCACCGCAGTATGACATTACAAAAACATGTCACTGTAAATTCCCTGCTCGAGGGGAAAAAAAAACAAACCAAACTCCTCCAAACTGATTTAGAGTTCCTTACCTAGAATTAGATTCACACCAACTCATCCTCTGATGCTCCCTTTAACTCCTCAGGCTACTTATGAGGCAAGATACAGTTTTCTCCCCAATATGGACTTTTTGAAATGCTCCTACATTTAACTTAATTTCATAGATCTGTTCTCCTGAACTCTACTTAAGTAACAACTGCAATTTAACTCTAGTCCTTTTAATTTTCTTTCTGAGCAATATATCTCTGACAAAAAAGATATGGGGAATATTATCTCACTTACACTGAGGCTGCAAACAAGATTGATTTCCTTTCTTCACACTGCATTTCCTGCCTGTAGCTATCCTTCATAAATGTTTATCGATTTCCTTGTCTTCTCTACTTGCAGATTTGCTGCCATGCGTGAAGGGAGCTGATTCCTGAGTACTATACCTGCTCAAAGCCCTTAGTGTTACTATTTAATGTTTCATAAATACATATAGGGGACAGACAGACTCACTCACTCACGAATTAGGATTTAACAGAACATAATTTAGTGGCTGGAGATAATTCTGCAGTCAAAGCGAAACAAGAAGATAAGAGCGAACATGAGATCGTTTATTTTCCAGAGCTGGTTTCACTGGAATCAACAAAAATGTTTTAAATTTGTACGATCTGTAAATGTTATTTTCAGGTTGATGTTCTCTACAAAACAGAACTCTACAAATTGCTGTAACGTACAAGACAGAAGCAGCCAATCATGATCTGAGCAAACAGCGGTCTCTTCAGATACTGCTACATGTTAAAAGAAGCTCATTTTATATAAATGAAGCAATGAGACCATGAAAAGGGTCTTGTCTTATTCTGCAGAGTTAAAGTTTGAATATTTTCTGTATTTCACTGTACAATTGTGTCATCTCAATTTCAAATTCTGCATCTTGGTATTTTTCTTACAGCTATTCTCTAAATTAGTTTGTAAACAAACCAGTTTGGCTTGTAGCATTTATGTCTTTCTCATCAGAAGTATGCCTGAATGTAGTGATAACTGAAAAGCAAGGTGGGTGCGGTACTATCTTTTATTGGGCCAACTTCTGTTGGTGAGAGAGACAAGCTTTCGAGCTTACACAGAGCTCTTCTTCAGATCTAGGAAATTAACTCAGCCCTGGTCTATATTACAAACTTATGCCACTGTAACTATGTCACTCAGAGGTGTGGAAAATCCACTCCCATGAGCAACACAGTTATGTTAACTTCCGGTGGTTAGTGACAGTGCTAAGTGGACAGGGAGGCTTCTCATATTTCAAGGTGAAGTGGCCCGCTAACACTCCTCCAGTCATAGGAAGGAAAGGGGAGGTGGAAGCAGATGGGAGGGGGCATTGTTAGTGGGTTACAGATTGTTGTAATACACCATAAATCCAGTGTCTCTATTCAGTCCATGATTTTTAGTGTCTAGCAAAGTTACGAGCTCCCAGGCTCGTGTTTTGAAAGTATTCTGCAGGTTTAATTTGAGGATGAGGATTGATAGGTCAGATATCGCATGATAGCTTTGTGAAGTGTTCACTCACAAGTGATATGGTATTTTTGTCTATCATTTTCCTGTGAGAGTTCATTTGAGAGCATAGTGATTGTCTGGTTTCACCTACATAGCTGCTATGGGGACAACAATCTAAACAATCTGTTCAAGCCTTGTGTTTAGCAGTGACACTGAGTTAGGCCTTGTCTACACTATCACTTATGTTGGCAAAACTTATGTTGCCCAGGAGTGTGAAAAAGCACCTCCTGGAGCGACATAAGTTTCACCGGCATTAGTGGTAGTGTGAACAGGACTATGTCAGAAGGAGAGCTTCTCCTGCCGACATAGCTACCTCTGCTCATTGAAGGTGGTTTAATTATGTTGATGGAAGAGAGTGGCTACATGAGAGATCTTACAGCCGCGCAGCTGCATCAGTACAGCTGTGCCACTGTAAGGTCCCTAGTGTAGACATAACCGTAGTTTCCCAGATCTGAAGAAGAGCTCTCTGTAAGCTTGAAAGTTTGTCTCTCTCTAACCAACAGAAGTTGGTCCAATAAAAGATATTACCTCGCCCGCCTTGTCTTGTTAATATTCTGGGACCAACACGGCTACAACAACACTGCATGTAGTGATAAGCGTAAGATACACTAGCAGAGTGAATGATAATACATAGCACTTTTCATCCACAAATCTCAACGCACTTCACCACCTCTGTAAAGTGTCATCATCCCCATTTTACAGATGGGGAAACTGAAGCACTGAGCAATGAAGTGATTTGCCAAATGGCACACAGGAAGTCTGTGGCAGAGCCCAGAACAGAACACAGGTCTCCTGACCTGCATTCCTGTTTTCCATGCACTGCATTAGCCTGACTTCTGCAAATTCTTTTCTTTAACATTATTTTGTAGTCTCTCTCTAAAAGAAAGTATATTTCTTGTTCAATCTTCTGGATTTTGAATTTAAGAAAAAAATAGATTTTAAGACCAGTTTTCCATTCATGAAGTTTCAGGGAACATGTTCTAAGATATATATAGTGAGAATGTGTTTAACCAGATCTGATGTTCCCATTAATTAGCTATTCTATCTTTTGCACATACAGCATATGTGAAAATGACAAATAATTCAGGAAACCATGTTGAACATCAGCACTTCTAATTATTCACACAAATGTATGCAGCTGAGTCACAGCAATGTGCTTATTTAAGCAGTTGATCAATAAGGAACATGGCATTCCCTTCGGAGTGTGAATGCTCGAACCCTGACCTGACCAAGCTATTTATTTTAAACATGGAGAGTCAGATGACAGGCAGGATGCAGTTACTGGCATGCCTGGCACGCAATACAGTCAGACATGTGCAGTGGAGTGGCCTGTTGTCTCTGTGCTTCTACTTCCTCTGTCTATACCAACATAACCACACACCCCTAGTGGACACAGTTTCTCTTTCTAGACCAACTCGACCACACTACCTACTTGTCACCTCCCAGCCCACACTGGAGCCCCTATGGGGTACCATCAAACAACT